TCCTCTAACACCAGAGTAAATGCCTCACAACCCCAGAGGCTAAGGTAAAGTGAATGTTCAGAAAGACACAGAGATAAATGATGGGCATACAGAGCATCAAGAACAATTTAGGAACTGTTTTAAAAGAACAAATAAATAAAATAAATACAAAAAAACAGGGTCTGAATATTTTAAAAACAAAAATATTAAATAGTTTCTTTGAAAAATACTGCTTCTCCGTGATAAATATTGCTCAGTAACATTGGACTGTTTTATTTATTTTATTTATTTTTGGTACCTGGGAATTGAACTTGGGACCTTGTATTTGCCAGGCAGGCACTTGTGCCACTGAGCTATATCCCTAGCTCCAACTTTGGAATTTTAATCATCTCATCAAAACCAAATCTGCCATACTTGATAACTGTCAGCCTTGCTGTCCTTGCTCCAGGAAATATGCCCAGCTCCAAGACTTAAGTGTTACATAAACATTCATTTTTTTTTCTTTTTTTTTACTTTAAATACACACATCCAGTAAACTGTACTGTAATCCAATGGCATTTCTGTAGCAAGTATATCCCCGTCTTGGCAAACGGCAACTGAAAACAAATTCACTGCTGGACATAGTGATATGGAAGACTTTTCTATTTTATATGCACTTTGCAACCCACAAACTCCTTCTTCGTGCTGTAGTTCCTAAATATAACCTGCGAGACACTAGTAAACATTTAACTTTAGATTAGCTCTTTAAAACTTTTAAGCACTGAGATTCAAGGCGCACTGAAGTGAGTCCTTGGGATCTTTTTTTAAGCTTCTCTTGGCATCTCATCTTCACGCTCCATCTGAGATGACTTGGAACACATCAGAAAATATCACCACCACTTCCACAAAACAACTGCCTGGACAGTGCTTGTTTCTACATCCGTCATTTATGGAGCTCTGTCTGTGGGAGAAATTTTATTTTAAGCGTCAGTACTAAGAGATGGTAAGATTGAATCTGGCTGCTTTCACTCAGTAAATGTAGGCAGCACCTACTCAGAAAACATCTTATTTTTAATTCTTGGAGCAAGACTCATCTCTGTTGTCATTTTTACATTTTTTTTTATTTTTTTTTATTTTTTTTTTTTTTTTTTTTTTTTTTTTTTTTTTTTTTTTTTTTTTTTTTTTTTTTTTTTTGGTTTGTCTCTGGTACCGGGAACCGAACTCACGACCTTGCACTTGCCAGGCAGGCGCTTTGCCGCTGAGCTAAATCCCCAGCCCCCTACATTTTTTTTTAAAGGGAAAGAAAAAACTTTGTGGAATTATTAACTTGCTGCTGTGCAGCTCAAAGTGACCCTGTAAAATGAAGTTCTGTGAATTATTTTTGTGGTTAACACAGCCCAAAGATGAGGCAAAGTGTGTGAATCCTCTTTCAATAATAGCATTGCTTTCTTCCTTATCAAATGAGACAAAGTAAGCTAAGCTTAGGCTCCATTGCAGAAGATTGACAAAGCAACTTTATCTACAGGTACCAATTTCTGAAATCATTCAAATTTCAGAACTTCTTCAGATTCATAAAAATTAACATATTTCTGCTCATCATAGTTGTATATTTAAGTAAATATGAAGAAAACATACACACACACACAGAGTAGCTATATTTTTTTATGAAAGATGGAGTAATACACAATCCCATTCAACTTCACTGAATAAATACATACAGTGTAAATACTGAGAAAACAAATTTGAGGCTTTTCAGGTGCTATTGGAAAATAATTACAGTAGTACATACATAAAGATAATAATTCAATTTTTGAATCAAATATCTATATAAATATATAGATATAAAATATATCCAATATATCTTTATGTAGATTTTGCTCTTTCAGTTATATATGTATATTACCATATAACTGAAACATGCACATGACAAAATAAGCTCCCCCTGGGTGAGAAGATGCCAGGAGATCTTCTTCTTTGTAAAATTTTCTTTTTAAATTCTTTTATATTTCCACCAAAAATATTTCATAAAATCCAAGAGCAGGACACTATCATACTCTTAAAATCAGAAATCAACCTGGAAGAACAATAACTATAATGTATAGTAATCATTCATTTATTTGAACAAATCAACCATGGATGACTAATTTTAAATACCTAAAGGTCAAAGCAGTCTATTGTCTGTGAACTCCTTTAAGGTGCTCTCATGCGGTAGTGTTTAGAAAAAGCTTGAAAATTTCAAGAGTTTACATTCTTCAACTTTATTTCCAGAGCAAACCTATGACATATTTTTATATACTTTTCTGAAGCTTTAATCTGTGTAAAGTACATCTTTTAATTAGAAGGAAAATATCGTTACAAGAGTAGCAGCAACTGAATATAATTTGGAGTTTGCAAGGGACTGAAAAATATTTTTTATTCTAAGTCAGTTTGAAAAGAAAACAGTTTTGATTTTGGTTAAATGGGGAATTTTTTTTTGTAACTCTACTTAAATCACATTGTGAAAACCCACTTAGAATTTTCCCTTAGTTCCCAAAATATCACCACATATTCTGTGAGCCATTCGCAAAATGGATCCAGTTTATAAAATCATTCTTACTACACTGAGCTTTTGCATGACTTTTTATTCAGATAAATTTGAAACCAAAAGCAATACTCACTGTATTGAATATTTTTAATAGTATGGTTTAAACTTGTAGCTTGAAATTCCTAAGTTCAAAGAACATTTATCTATAGCTTGATTTTATGCTTGAAATTTCTTATGCCTCACAGCAGTTTGTAAAATATTGGAGGAAGAAACCCTCCTTCTATCATTCCTAGCAATTTTCCTTATACTTAACTAAAATATATAGAAATGTTAGAGCAAAATCAAAATGGTATGCCTTCTTATCACTGTCTTATTTTTAAAGTATGTCTCTTAATCATGAACAAATCCGTGTGCATATACAAGTATACTTTCAGCGAAAATTTTGAAATAAATATAAACAGGCAAAAAAATTAATTCAACTTTATTACATTTACTTGAAGGAGTTATTTCACTGACTAAACCACAATGTTGAGTTTAAAACTGATAGTGGAGACATAATTATGCTTATATTTAATCTGTATTTTTTTGACATTACTAATACTCATGCACTGAAAACCTATCTGCACAATAATATTTATGTAATTTAAAACATTTTCAGAGACTTTTTGTGTTGAAAGATTAACAACTGAAATAATCATTTATAAAATTCTTTGGGACAGCACTGCTTAAATGCAAATTTTAAAGCACAGCCAAAATGGTTATGGACAATATAAAGGATTAAACTTTTTCTTTTGAGTGATCTGTTTACTGAAATGAACTTCTAATAAGAAACCTTGGGGAATGAAATCAGGAAACTGTACCATGATGTGTAAGAATAGATGAATCCATTTAGATAAGCATCTGAATCAACAGAGATGTAAAATCTTATTACTTATAAAAGTGCATACTTGTACATATAAATAACCATAAACATTGTTGTATTATAAAACTCTGTGATATAATAAAATTACTTAAAATATAACATTATATTTAAGTGATATTTCATGAAATACATTTCTGTACTCTTTGATAATTCATAGATTTCCAAGACTATGTCTTTCATTTTTTTCCAGTTTTAGCAAAACTAACTTACAATATCACAGTGATAATTGCTCTTCCCTTTAGATCTCTACCCCAGTGTTATTTGTGTTTATCTTATTCTATATGTTATGATACAGTGAACTATACACATGTAAAGTTTCAAGAGAAGTTAAATAGTGTGCACATTTTAAACATTATACAGAATGTACTCAAAATCATTTGTGAATTAGAAATAATTATCAGTCATTCTACCAATACTTTGATTGATATAAGAAATCTATTCAAATTCAGTTAAGATGAGATATGGTAATGCCTTGTTAAACAAATGCTTGTTCATGAACAATTGGGTGGGCAAAAGGAAGCGTTTGGTAAAATTTTGCTTCTGATCTTGAAGTCCACATTGGGTGAAGAACACCACCCAGGCAATCATGCCCACAAAGACAGAAATGAAGCCATCTTCCCAGAATTGCGGAACGAATTAAATTCGTGATCTAAGCTCTACCATATTTCCTCTACTCTACCATATATAATTGAATGATCTTTCATAAAATTAAATAGAAAAAAAAACCAGGAGGCTGGGGATTTAGCTCAGCAGCAAAAACCGCCTGCCTGGCAAGCGCAAGGTCGTGAGTTTGGTTCCCCATACCAGAGAAAAATCAAAAAAAAAAAAAAAAAAAAAGAAATCAGTGTTTTCCGATTTTATTTTCTTCTCCTTATCTCTTTTTGCATTCAGTTCGTTGATTTCTGTCTGCAGGTCATTTGGAACCCTCCTGACTTCGTACTTGTGAGCTAATTTATTTTTAAATAATATTTTTTAAATGAAACAATACCCACATTTGAGATTTTTGCATTTAATTCTGTGCAAACTTTATTAGTACAAGGGAATGACACAACAGTGTTCAAAATTGCTTATATCCATTCCCGTGGATGTGTTAAGAAGAGTACTTTGGTTCTGATTTTCATAATGTTAAGAAAATAGAATGGACTGGGAAAAGGATCAGTATGTAGTTTAGCCATGTGAAAAGGCAACTAAAATTAAAGGTGAGGGGCTGGGGATTTAGCTCAGTGGCAAAGCGCCTGCCTGGCAAGCACAAGGTCGTGAATTCAGTTCTTGGTACCGGAGAAAAATGAAAAAAAAAAAAAAAAGTAAAATTAAAGGTGAATGGTAAAATATCCAGGACGCAGAATATATATACATATATATATATAATTTGCTGCATAGTTTATTTCAAATTTTCTTAGGGATTAAAATGTTTATAATCAAAACTCTGCAGGAAAAAAGAAAAGGACGATAGAGATTTCCAGTAAATTTTTGATTCAAGAATTTATAGTGATATATATATATGAATTTTAATATAGCACCATTCCTTAAATTTTCTCTCTCTTTCTCTCCTCTCTCCTCTCTTTCTCCTCCTTTCCTTATTTCTTTCTCATAAAGCTTCATTCTGACTTGGACAAAGGAGAGGGCACTGTCAAATACACCCTCTCAGGAGATGGCGCCGGCACAGTTTTCACTATTGATGAAACCACAGGAGACATTCATGCGATAAGGAGCCTGGATAGAGAAGAGAAACCTTTCTACACCCTTCGTGCTCAGGCTGTGGACATAGAAACCAAGAAGCCCTTGGAACCTGAATCAGAATTTATCATCAAAGTGCAGGATATTAATGATAATGAGCCAAAGTTTCTGGATGGACCTTATGTTGCAAGTGTTCCAGAGATGTCTCCTGTTGGTGAGTAGGCAAATCAAAATTCTGTCAGGTGCTATGGGTATTCTTTAAATTTTATTTTATTATTTTATTTTATTTTATTTTATTTTATTTTATTTTATTTTATTTTATTTTATTTTGGTCTTTTTGAGACAGGGTCTCATTATGTAGCTCAGGCTGGTCTTAGATTCACTTGGTAGTCCAGGCTAGCCTCCAATTTGAGATGATCCTCCTTTCTCAGCTTCCCAAGTGCTGGGATTACAGGTGTGTGCCGCCATGCCTGGCGTCTTCAAATTTTAGTGTTTAGATAAGTGTAAACATCTCATTTGTAATCAAAATGGTTTTTCCTAAAATGGAGAAAATTTGTTTTCATATATATACATATATATATATAATTTCTCTATAGATACAGATTCTTCAATATTTTCCAGTATATACATATTCTTCAATATTATCTTAACACATATATATATATTCTTCAATATTATCTAAGCTCATAGATTCCATTCATGTTTTAAATATGAAATTTATTTTCATTGAGGCAGGAGATACAGTACTAAAGCCTGTGCAGTGTTGGAGATAACTACCACATATCATCAAATAAATACTTTATAGTAATATTGAGCTCAAAATAAAATATCCAGATACATATTCTGTCTGACCTAGAAGCCATCTAGATAACATTATTTTACATTTTTATAAATACCAGTAGAGATTCCAGAAAATTAAGACTGTTTTCTTTGTGCATATATGTATTCCTTAGAAGTTGTACAATCAAAACATAAAACAAATACCATCCTGAAGTTAGAAAAATGTAGAATTAGACTGTAATGATATCATTCTTAATAATTTATACTTACCATAAGTTGATACTTGAATATATCTTATATACAGTGAATCCTTTGATAGGCAATATCAGATTCAATAAGTAAAGTATTATAAATTTAACAACACTTTTAAATTATAATTTTTATTCCTCAGTCACTATTGTCTACCACTTGTTCTATTTCAAAATAACCTCTATTTCATATCACATTTTGAAGATAAAGTCCTTACACACAGGTTAAAGTTTCAAACTTCTGTGTGAACCATTGCTAGTATTTCCTAATATGGAGCTCAGTGGCATAAGTGCTTGTCTGGCAAGCCTGAGGTCATGAGTTCGACTCCCAGTTCCAAAAAAAAAAAAAAAAAAAAAAAAAGACGGCTAATACTGACATTCTTCAGAGGACTTCTGTTGCCCTTATAACTATCGAGAACAGGCAAAGAAGTTTGCACATACTATCTTGAGAAAAGAAACAGGTTAGTGACTGTAGAAGTTGTCACTTGGATTGATTCCAAGTGCATTGAAATTGTGCATGGGATCTTATTGGGTATCCAAAGACCATATTCATTCATTTATCTCAGGAATAAGCTGAAAGTAGTTCTCTTGGATGTAAGTCTTATGTATATACTTAGTGCTTCAGATATCGTGCTCATCTTCTGACACATTTTGAGTTACATGTTTTATGCAGTGACTGCTACAGAGTTAGCAGTGCAGTTGGGAAGAAGCTTATCTTATTAGAACATAATGCCAGTAAATGGAGAAAGATATTTTTAAATTGTCCTTTGGTTTTCTAAGGATAGAAAAGTAAAACACATACTCTTCGAGGAAAAGACATTTAACTAGATGGGGATATTTAGCATGGAATTTAACCCGGTGACTACCAGGAGTAAATTAGAAATATCAACGTCTGTTTAGGACCCTGAGTAACACTATAATACTAGCAGAATATCTCTAAACAAAACATACATATTTCTCTACATTCTATATTAGAGAATTCCGTCTCATTAGATAAACAATTAGGATTTTTATTGTGCTGGTTTGTATAGAAGATACGGCTGCAGATCTAAATTTCTTATATAAGAAGCTTGCAAGTAGTGCTTGAAGAAATCAACCTGGTACATCAAGAGAAAGGCAGGCAAGTGAAAACCCATATAATTCCCAGTTTTTGCAATCCTGGGGTGAGATGTGATTTATTAGTTCTTTAAAATGTATTGTTATGTGCCATCACTGGAAGTTCTCATTGGTTATTCAAGAGACTCCAATAAATATTTAATACAGTTTTCAATGTAGCTCTCTTTAAAAACTTTTTTCATAGCAGAAGAATATTTTCTTTTGAATCTGAAACCATATAACATGCTATGAGTAAGCCCAGGTATCCTAGAGTGTATTTGCATAATGTGCTCTTTTCAAACGAATTCAAAGAGTTATAAATACTTGTTATGAATTAAATGTTAAAAGTAAAATATCTACTGTACATTACTTTTGCCTTTCTTCACAAGCATACCCACATATATATGTAAAGTGTGGAACACTGGCGAGCCAGTTAGATTTGTGGCATCTGTTGTTTCTGCATTTTCCTTACCAACCTGAAGCTACCAGCAAATGCTTTGCATCCACAGGTTGCATTCACCGTTCCTTGAGGTCTTTTAACTTCATTATCAGGCACCCTTCTTACCAGATGGAAATGCTTCAGTGTTCTGATCTCAGAAAAGTTCATAATTTTTCACTAAATCTTTTTCTTTGTTCTTTTGTATCATTTTCTTGGAATATTAAAATACTTTTTCCTCAAGACCTAATCAAGTTTACATGCTATACAGATGATATAGCTATTACAACAATACATTTATTTTCTGTTGTAGGTATTTCTGTTTCACATATTCTCTACCCGTGACTTTTCTTTCTCCAATTTTCAAAAAAAAGGAAGAACTAACCAATTTAAAAGTACATATAGTGAAATAATTTATTTTATAATATAAATCAGAAGATGAAATAATATAAAAAAAAGTATGTTATTCAAGTGTCAATTTAGGAATTATGAACTGGTTATACCCCTGAAATTATTATGTTCACATAAACTTGCAAAGAAAATTAAATAAAGTGAAAATTCTAAGGAACATAATATAGAAAAAATGATTGTGGCAAGCAGAGTGACTTGAGATTTGAGAGGAAAATTAATATTTAAGACTTATAACATAATGCAATGCATTTAATTCCCTAAGATGAAGATAATCTAGTGAATCTATGAATTGTTTAAGAGAAAGGTCACTCTGTTACTCACTTCTGCTACATCCAGTATGCCATGGAAGTAATATTCCAAGATAGAGTGCTTTTACTTTGACCTAAAGAAATTACTTAATGATCCAGATATTCACCAACTCAAATCTACTCCCTGGAGACAAATTTGGACTTTATGGATGTGGTCTTAATTCTCTAAGATCACTACAGTTACAATAAAATACAGTAATGTGCCCTCTTTAATATCTGATGATTATGCATCAGTAGAGAATGCAGCTTAAGTTACTTTTCCTGGACTGCTGACAGGTTTCGGAAGTTTAAATCCATATTCACACTTGTATTATCTCTCTCTGCATCGGCTAAGTCATTTTTAAGGCAACTGATTGGATGATTAATATCCATGTCTCTAAGAAATGGTAAAGTAGTTCTCAATGGTGAATAAGGAGCCATGATTTATGTAGTAAGAATTATCATTTTCTAAGCATTAGTCACGTGCCAGGTGCTATCGAGATATTTGTTTTCTTATTTTATTTATCTATTTATTTTGTGCATACTTTATATTTTAACTTTAACTATATTTCTATGTACTTTTGCATGATTACTTTCTATTTGAATTTTATATGAAAATTTAATAACTCCTATCTTTAAGAAAATGAAAATGATTCCCAGGCTTTTTACAAAAAAAAATCATAATCAAACATAATATTTTTTTCCTGTGGTGACTGCTAGAAGGTTTTTGGAAAACTTAAGTTTAGCTTTCAATCTCAGATGATCTTGTTAAGAGCTCAGAATTCATTTTAACTTGATTATATCATGTTATATTATATCATTAAATATGAAGATTGGTGGTCCATGATTAAAACAAAATCTGAGGAAAAAGTATCTCTTATCCAGCATCTAATAAAAAATGTTTATCATAAATTTAAATAAAAAATCTACTTAAAGAAAATCAGGTTACTGGCTTAATAAGAACAATAGACAATTACTCCCTTGTTTTTTGGTATTTTTTCTAAATCCCCAGCCCCTGTAGAGGTTATTTAGTAGAAAATATTTACTACATGGTTATCCTGAAATAGCATCTCTCCAGGAAGGACATACTGAAGATTTGGACCATACTTAAATTACATTACTGGTCTAATTTAGAAACATACATGGCTATCCACAATTTCTCATTTTTTCAGAAGACCTATAGATAAAAAACTTAAGGGACATACGTACATCTTCTCATCCCATAAGTCAGTCATAACAACAGTTCAAGGAATACAACTGGAATACAGATAAACTGAAATTCGCTCCTGCCTATGTCTCATTAACAATCTTTTTCAGGAGTTTGGAGGTTGACTGTTTTCTGCAAATTATGATATTCTTCTTATGAAATCAAAATGCAATTTTTAAACATAGGAATTTATATTTCAAACCTGACACTGCTGTCTTAGTTACTTTTTTCTCACTGCTGAGACAAAATACCTGATGCCCAAAATTAAGGAAGGAAAGGTTTATTTAGCTCACAGCTTGTAGAGGTTACAGTCCATACTTGGCTGGCTCCAAGTCAGAGTGGCACGTGGCAGACGGCTACTGTTCATGGCTGTGGAAAACAGCAAATAACAAGAGTAAAAAGGAGGAGCAGCACCTGGAAGAGCAAGCCTCTCATCATCCCTTACACTGTATGCAAACTACCCATCCCAAGGTGTGTGTAGCACTCATATCCATAATCCCAGCATTGTCCATGGATCAATCATAAATCTAGAAGTCTGTCCCATGCTTGCATGAGGATTTGGGGGCACATGCAGACACAAACCACAGCAACTGCATTCCACCTTCATTAACTGTCTCAATAAATTCTTATAACAAAAAGTTCAAGTTCAAAATCACACAACTGTATGTTGGTCATTCTCAGCTTCCTTCAGTGGGGATCACTTCCATACATTCTCCTTGTCTCCATCATCCTAATACTTTTGAAACTGTC